TTTATTCTTGCCTTTCATTCTTGCTTTTGTTCTCCTTACCATCGAGTGCCCCTGTAAGAGAGCTCACATGTAGAAAGCAGAGATGTGCAAAGAATAACAGATCTGGTTGGAGGTTTGGGCTGGGTTGGTTAGAATCTACTTTCGTAGAATTCCCCCTCAGTTTGAATGGGGACTGAGACATCAGTCATGTTGCAAGTTTGAGACAGCTCTACTGAAGTTTCTACCAACCCATGGCTGGTGGAATCACTCTGACAGGCCTCAGCACCGTGGACATTTTCATGTTTAGTGTGCCAGCCGTCTTGCAAAGGTCTACTTGCCAGTTTGGGCTTTGCTACTGCTTCCTATTGTCCAACTTGGGATCTCTTTTTCCAAGTTTTTAGTGTTTTTTTGTTGTTCTGGACTGATGAAGGCTGGAGGCAGAGCAGCAGATGAGTACTGGACTTGGAGCTTCTATTTCTAAGATTGTCATTTTTATTCAACTTAAAAAAGGAATTGGAAGAGGGAGGTGAGCTCTTTTCTCGGGTCCTTTAGAGACTTAAGCGTAAGCAGGATAAAGAACAATTGTCATTATGCCCCCTGTTGGGTTTCCAGGAGCTTGGGAGGAATTTCTGTTTGTTTTGATTTGTTTTTATTTTTAGGCAGCAGAATTTGGATTTCACTCAAATTATGTCCAGGCTGATTTAATGCCAATGGGAGAAGAGATCCAGAAGCCAAGAACAAATTTGCATGATGCATGACTTCTTGGTGATTCTCCATGCATCTCTTTGAAATACCTTCTCTTGGAACTCCAGTATTTTAAAAATGGAAGTAAAAGGCTGCTTGATAGATAGTACATAAGTGCCATCAGTAGGCACACCGGCAATGGCCAAAAGTTGGAAAGATGCTCCTGGCCTTTGTACACTTCAGAAGTGAGGTTAAACTTAAGCACATCACACCTCATAGGCATTTTGCACGAGGAAGCCTTGCCAGCTGATAGCAGGTGTTGGATCAGCAGCCCTTCAAAAGCAGGGCTTTGGTCCAGAAAGAGAAGTACAACTTCCCAGAGCAGTGTGAGGAAAGGTTTCTCACTTAGACACCTGCAGGTTGCACCACGTGAAATTATGTCAGAAGAAACTGCTTTTCAGCCAAGGGCTGTCACCCAGTTTTCAAGCTCAACACTATATCTATGAAAGCCCACATTTATGGCAAGTGTGAAAGAGGAGGAAGGACCTGATCTCTCTACAGACCATTGTTTCTGTCTGAAATTGCTAAGGTGATATTTTGAATCTTCTGAAAAAGCAAGATATGTAAAAAGCAAATTAAGACAAAAAGTCTTCAGAAAGCACAGAGAGGTTTATATCTAAATGAAATATTAGCTTTTTTCCCTTTTACTTGAAAGTCAGCTACTTCTTGGCAACTGCTTTCTTTCTTACCTCATTTTACTTTTTCCACTTCATCAACAGCGTGCCTTAGCCAGTATGGAATGGTACTAATAGGACTGTTCTTCCTAGCTGTGTGCTTGGGAGTTTTTCAGGACATTTCCAAAATATCTGTTAGGGAACAGATATGCTATAGACCTTGAATGCTGATGGCATTATCTGCGTACAGAGGTGACTATTTTGGTATGTTCTGTGTGCTCTTTAAAGCAGTATTTTAATACATGAGCTGTAAGGTACAGCAAAAATGAGTCAGTAGAATTTAGAGTAAATATTATTTCTCTTTAGAATTATTATATGATTTTTATATAAAAACTTTTCATAAACAATTTAATCTATATAATCTGCTTAGTTACTCTGCCAGGTAGATCATTCATTTTCATGCCCGCGTGATTTGCCGGTTATATTTTCTAAACGAAAGACATGGCATTAGTGAGAAGTGGCTGCTTCTCTAAGCCTTCAAGCTACCCAGCTTTTCACCCCCATTTTGGGTGACTTTGCAGGTGTTGAGCAGAATACTGCTGAAACAGGAGGGTCCAACTACCAAAGATATCACTCTCAGGGCTGTTTTCATTACACTTCATCATTGTAAGCATATGGTTTCACTTCCAAGTGTTTAACATTTCCATTTCCTCAGGAAATCATTCTTTCTGTTTTTCAAACTTTGAAACTGGAGGGATATTTTTGCTGGCAGGCAGGCCGAGCACGACACGGCGCTTGACCCCAGGGATCCACCATTCCTGCTCCCTCCATCCACATCTGTCCCCTGCCTGCAGGCAGCAGCTCCTCGGCACGGCTCTGGGTGCCTCAGCTGGGCCTCTTAGAAGCAACACCTCTGCTATGCTTTGCTCCTTGTGCTATAAAGCTATCCACTCTGTTTCTGCGCGAGCTGAGAGAGGTGTTTTTGTTTCTCAGTCCATGCTATGCCCTGTGCATCCCAAGAATGAGCTGAGAGCAGGATCCTGGAGCTGAGTCGGTGAGGTCAGTGCAAAACTAGGGCCTAAGAAAATACTGTATGTCACCTACAAGGAATGAAAACAGTTGCATCATGTATTTATTGTCTGTATCGGTATATCCAGCACTTAAATGAACATTACCAAGGAGTGGATGGCTCCAGGGAACTGGTCTGGCTCTTGTGTTTTTGGAGATTATTTCTGGTATTTCCTTTTTCCTCATTACAAACAGGTCACCATTCCCATGTGCTGGCCAAATCAGATACTGCTGAAGTGCAGCATATCGTCTCACATCATGCTCATATCATCTTTGCGTTTAGATTATCTACATCTGCAATAGTATTTGTCTTCTTGTTTTCTTTTCCTTATGTGTTAGTAAGTACAGTTACTCAAAGTGCAATTTGCACGCTCGTGTAGCATCAGGGTGTGGGTTTTTTTCTGCACCCTCAGAAGAATAAGATAATCATGACAGCAGAAAGCAGCATCAGGTAGATGCAGCTGCATCGCCTGAGCTTCAGTGTACCTCACCTGGGCTCCAGCTTCCTGCCTATCCCTTGAGACACTGAGAACTGGCATTCTGATGCACTCGAGCACTTCCCTCCCTCCTTTGCCTGCCTTAGTGCTGTGCCTGGCTACATATTCCTTCACCTTCTTGCTGAGAGCTCTTGGCCAAGCAGTGAGAACTTGCAGCATTTGCAAGGATAGCTCAAGGCTGCTCAGTGTCATGCTGGGCCTCTGGCGCTGCATGTCTGTGTTATGCTGTTCCTCTTGCAAACAAACCAGTATCCCAGACTTGTTGCTGACTAGCGGTCGAGTTAAGATTTACACAGTGATTTAGATGCAGTGCTATTTGCCAGCGAGTGCCAAAACACTGCAGTCTTCTGTCTAGATTGAGTGAAATCTTGATCCCACGTGGGCTGGCAGGACCAGTCACGAAATGGTGTGGGTGAATTGTCCTAGGCTGCTTCAGAAAACGCTGAGGTAAAATCCAGCTAACCCCAGCTAATCCCCACACACCATGAGGGTGCTTCAGAGGTCTCCTCCTGAAACTGCAGTTGCCTGTGAGCAGAGCATGATGCCAGCATGGGTCTTCCTCAAAAGAAGTGCTCTTGGTGTGCTCCTGCCATCAGGCTGCCATGTGAAACCCAACTGCCATCCAGATGCAGCCCAGCAAGCCCAACATGTCCATTTTCCTCTCAGGAGGGATGTCCTCGCTTTGCAGAGCATGGTCCTTGGGTGCAGCCTGTGCCAAGCGAGCCCTTCGGCTGAGTGCCTCCATGACAAACAGACTTGTGCCTGCAGAATTTGTCCTTGTGGGATCTGGAACGTGGGGGGACAAAGCAGAGGGGAAATAAAAGCCATTGCGCAAGGAGCTCCAGGCCTGAGAAAGAAGTAACCAAGGCACCGACAACTTGTGTGGGTTTAGTATGTCTGTTTGCAGTGTGATGTTATGTGTTTAGAAGCTGGTTGTTTCCATAATAACAGCAACTGCCATATGGCAGCGAGGAGGGTGGTGAGAGGAACACTTAAGGAAACACAGTATGTTGTTTGACATGTGTGTGCTTCTAAAGGAATAACGTGTCTCCAGCAAGTGCTGTAACTCCAAACAGGCTGAGAGATCTGCTGCTCTCACCAAAAACGTCCACCTTGTTCGTACTGGTGCAATCCCAGTTCATGATGGCAGCCCCTCTCATATTTTTCCTGCACAGTAAGGGAGCTCGTGCTTCAGCAGAGGCTGGTTCTGGGTGCAAGGAGGACCCAGCACAGGGGAACAACATTTAACAATGTTTATTTATGGAGAAATAAATGTCTGTAGAGGAGCACAATGTTAATCTATATAATCTGCTTAGTTACTCTGCCAGGTAGATCATTCATTTTCATGCCCGCGTGATTTGCCGGTTATATTTTCTAAACAAAAGACATGGCATTAGTGAGAAGTGGCTGCTTCTCTAAGCCTTCAAGCTACCCAGATTTTCACCCCCATTTTGGGTGACTTTGCAGGTCACCCAAAGGTGACCTTTGGGTCACGCTGCACCCAAGGACCAGATAAACTGGCATCAGCTAGATGCTGTGTACAACAACTGCAGGTTGGTGCTCTGAAAGTAAATAAAAATTTTGAAACCTTTAAAAATACATATTTTGCAATAAACGTTTAGTAGAGAGTGAACTGTGCATTTCCAGAAATTAGGAAATATGCATTACTTTAAAGCATATCCGGAAGGAACCAGGAAAGTCACAAATTCCAGCTTCTCCTCTAATGCTCCTGCACTTTTCAATACATGACTCACATTTCAGGGACTTGACATTTCCCACAAATGCTGCCTGTCTGTGTGGTACTTTTGCGGAGTACATGCAATTCCGCCATGGAAAAACGTGAAATTATTCACGAATAATAGCTGAATGGCCTTTGTGGTGCTTTTAAATACATCAGCCCTGTAAAACTGAGCCTGTCTTGTTTGAGACTTAAACCATTCATTACATTTGTACTTGCAGATTTGAAACGCGGTGGGGAGAAAGCATTTCTATTTGGGATCATCTTTCTGCACTCACTTGCTGTGTTTTAAACTCCTAGCCAGCCCAAAAGGCAAAGCTCTTCTCATTTTCATGCTTCTCTTCTTTTTATTGCCTCTAGAGAGAGATTACTGCAGCATATGTGAAAAGCAGCCGATTGGAAGGCTTCTCTTTCGGCAGTTCTGTGAAACCCGCCCGGAGCTCGAGTGTTGCATTAGATTCCTCGACTCGGTGGTAAGTCACTTCTTGTGGGATCTTGCAGTGCTTTGCCACCCCATGCCTCAGCTGCTAGCTGAGGAACCCTGCTGGCAGAGCAGGAGGAGTGAAACGTTGCTCTGAAGACACAGTGATCTCTACCTGCACCCAGCCCTGGCAGAGATGTGTGTGATCAGAGCAGTGCTGCTGCATAGCTCCTTTCCTGACACGCACAGTGCTCTGACTTCAGGAAATCATACTTTCGTGGGATGTGGGATTGCGTCTTCTGGACCTGAGCAAGCTGTTGGCAGGGGTGAACCTAGCAGCTCCCCAGCATTGTTGGAAGTAAAGGGGCAGTGCTCCACCCAGGTTTGGGGCCAGCTTCAAGGTACACGAGCCATCAGGAGGGGCGGGAGACAGGCAGCCCTCTCTGGTGCAGGCAGAGCCTCGCTTAAGGCCACAGCACAAGCAGCTGGGCTGTTGTGAGTAATGTCTTCTGATATCATTGCAGTCGGCAGTGTTAGAAGGCAAAGAGAAGGAAGAAAAGGAAGATGATGAATGGACTGACAAGAGGGGATGAGGAGTGTGACAGTAATAATGCCTCACTCTTACCAAGCCTCTCCATCAGTAGATTCCAGGGTGATTTACAAAGGACATCCTGGTTGATATCTTGTTTTTTCAAATAGGAAAACAGGCGCACAAGGTATAGAAATGACTTTGATTGAGGTCACCAAGGAACGCGACGAGCCTGCTATAGAAACCAGCACCATTTCCCATCCCAGTGAGCTCCCAGCTAACCCGGCCATTGAGCTGTGCCCCCAGCCTCCTGGGCAGACTTGATGTTCGTTCCCAATCTGGCAGCGTTTGGCTCTGTGTAGTGCCAGCAGTAGCTGCTCACAGTTTAAAGATGCTCACTGGCTTCCTTGCTGGGAGCCTCCTGAAGGGCAGGGCATAGATGAGCCAAAAGCACCACGCAGGCACATGAGCTGCCAGTTGTCATCACAAAGTGCCTTTGCTCTCTAGCTGATACTAGCTAGAGAAAAGCTGGTCAAAGGCAAAGCAATGTATACCAACAGGAATATGTATTTTATTTTATTTTATTTTATTTTATTTTATTTTATTTTATTTTATTTTATTTTTTAATTTCTGCTGTGGCTAAGCTATTGTGAAGTAGAAGCAGATGCGAAGGTTGCACTGTTGTAAAGGTAAGAGTTTGGGAGGGGAAATTTCTCAGTTTTTATTAGTACCACAGCTACTACAACAAATCTGCATTGCAGAAAGTTTTGAGTAAAGTTGCATCATAATCCATTTTAGTTGGCATATTTGGTACCGTCCCAATTCATAAAGCAATCTTTGAACTTTTGTAAACCTTTTTACTTGATTAACATAATTTAAAACATCCTAATGCTCTTGCTGTACATTTTCATTGGACTCATTTTGCAGTTTGATTTTGCACCTAGACTGCTGAAATGTAGCAGTGTGTTGTAAAATTGACCTTTTCTTCAGATGGCTTATAGCAGGATTTGGCTCAAATTGTTACTTGCAGTAGACACTAGGTCTCTATGCTACCAGAATAGCAAATGATAGAGCAACACACCTGCAGTAGGTTAAAAACTCCCCACTTAGTGCTTATCAGAGTATAGGATTACCCAGCACTGAGTGGCAGAAGACTGCACACAATCAGTTTCACAGGTAAACCAAAGGAGGTATTTTCCCACATGCACATATCTTGATATATTGCAGCGCTGTGCTTTTCGACTGATAGATGTGAGGGGTGTGATAGAAAATTCACAGTGAAGACAATACTTGCATGACTGGAAACTAATAGTCCTTCTCAGAGAATACATGCATCATCTTGTTAGAGATTTCCTCACGTCAGCATTAAGTGTATTGTTTGAAAGTGTATTGTTTAAATGACAAACCAAAGAATTTACCCTCAGATTTTTGCAAGCTAAGAAGGGCAACCTTTAAATCAGCACAGCCATGGAAAGGTTTCTCTAAGAGGTTTTGAATGATTACAGTTCACCTTATATTCCTAGTGCTGGTCATGAGTTTCCTCAGTGGGAAGGCTCAGCTCACGAGGGTCATGAGACAGCTACTGCTGGCAGCCGATCTGTGCAGGTATGCTCAAGGCAAGCAAAAACAGGAGGATGCTCCAGGTGCTTATTGCAGCCAACCAGCACCTTCTAGTGAGGTACCTGCCATCATGAAGCACTGATTTAGTGAACAAAATGTTGAGCTGTGTGGAGGTCTGAATATTTGTTCTTCTTTTTAGAGCTAATTAACAGCAGTCTCCTTTGTCGATCTCAAATTCCAAACAAGTTTGCTCCCAGACTGTGAAAATCCCTGCATTATCCAATATTAAGGTCTAGCAGCACAGCCATTAAGTTGGGTGATGGCTACTGAAATTCACCCAGTGCAGTCACACTGTGTTGAGTGAGTAGTGGGATTCAGGCCAAGGCCTACGTTAGGCAAAAAGTCCCGTAATGAAACCAGAAGTTTGACTTTAAAGCCCTATTCTGAGGCCACCAGGAACATGGAACTTTTTTTGAGGCCACCTGCTGTAACAAGCTCTGAGCAGAAGAAGCCAAAGCTTTCTTTGGCTTAATTACATTTATAATGAGAGATGCAAAGCTTAGCTTTTTTGTAATATCAAATTAAAAATAAAATAGAGAAATGTGTTTAGTTGTCCATCAGAGGCTCAGAGAGCTTTTTGCAAATTGAGAAATAAGAACCTATCTTTTACAGAAAGAAGGCGAAGTAAAAGCACAGCTGGGTGACTTTACCAGGCCACTCGGTAAGTCACTGGCAGAAGCTCATAATTGATCTCTCCTAATTTTTAATAGTTTTTTTTGTTTGTTTGTTTGTTTGTTTTTTAATTGTGAACTCAGTTGTCTTCAAGGAAAGCAGGAACTGGGGCTCCCAGGTGAGTCAGGCACCCAGCAGCCTACCAGTAAGCTCAATTTCCTTACTTAGGACACAACCAAGTTTTGCAAGAACTCTCCCAACTCCTTTGCCTCCAAAGGCTGGTTAGATCAACCAGACTGTGCAAACTTGAGTGCATATGGGAAAAAAATCTCTTCTCTGCTGGACATTTATTTCAGCTGCCAGTTGAAATAACTAACCTGGTCTGATGTCGTCTCATGCAAATCTAATTTTCGCAGCATCTGTTTTGGTAATGTTTTGTTGTTGTTGTTGTTTCCTGTACTGTTTAGCAGTACTCAGGCTGGCTTTCTGAAGGAAAAAACCGTTTGTATTGTTGCATTCTGCATGTGTGTAGCTGCGTATCTATTAGTTCCCTCTAAAACTCATTAATACCTTGGCCACTTTCTACTTGTAACTGAGATTAAAGTGCCCAGAAACTGAAAGTTCCTGCATGTGTTCTGAGAACAGTTCCCCAGTTATTAGCCACAACCTGTCAGTTGTAAAATAGGCTACAAAGATACATGACTGTAGGCAGTAGGTCCTAACATTAAAAGATGAAAGTGATAAGGCTCCTGCTTCTGCTCTGGGGTCGGTGTGAGTGACTACAGTGGTCCTAGGCTACACAGTGAGGCAGTAAGGACAGAGCCATCTCTTACCATGGATATCATGCAAACAATTTCATGACTTCAAAAGAGGAAAATATCCAGTAAAAAGAACCAATGGTTTCAGCTTGTGCCTCTGAATATGTGTGATTACACACATCATACGCTCATCTGAGCACATAAACAACAAGATCTCCCACGAGTAGTTCACCGAACTCTTATGTAGCCATTCAGATGAAGGAACTGTTCAAACAAACTATTATCATTACGTGGAGCTGTTTTATTTTTAAATCAGCTGTCCATAAGCCCTTAACAAAGAATTCACACACAGCTCCAAAGCACACTTTGCTGTGCTTACAAATATTTTAACAACGTCATAGAGCTTTCTAGCTGTTGAAAGACAGCCATTAAAATAAAGTGCTGGGGGATACATTTCCTGTGCTGAAAGGCAGATCAGTGAGCAGCTAACCCGTTAGCAATGTACATTTCCTTCCCAGCCAGCCTGTGCCTACAGCACAAGGAGGTGGCTTTGCAGCAGGGACCTCCTGCTGGTGTCCTCTCCTCAGAAGGGGTGCTGGCTCTCTGATTTTGCTGTGCTATTGTAATGAATACTTTACTGCAAGTCTCTTGAGCCACTTTCCTGTTTCATCTTCTCCCATCCATCATTTTTGAACTTTTTTCATTCTCAGGGGAGGATTTCTAACATTTTAATGTGGATTAGGTTTAGACTAACTGGAGGGAGCTGGGAGCAGAGAATAGCTAATTCTGATCCAGGAGAACAAAACCTGGAGTTATTTTCTCTCCTATGTTCTGTTGTTTTTTTGCACTGAAGCCAGATAAAAGTACACGTGGAGAAAAGTAGCCCCAGTGCCTCTCTGGGTTGTTTCTGCTTGTGTTATCCAGGCATTGGGGCAGAGGCTGAGAGACACTATCATCACTTTGGGTGAAATTTTCAGCTGAATGCTTCACTACACATTACACTTATCTGGGGTAACAGGATGAACGAGCATCCATTTAGTGCCATTTGTAAAAAACGTGTCTCTGTTAGAGAGATTTCATTTGGTTAAGTCCCTTGCATGGTGTATAAACCATCTGTGTATGTGTGTCTTAAAGCTGTTCAAGGCTTTTTCCATCAGAAATGCCAGTTTGTTGATATCAACAAACTCATTAACTCAAAATGTGTTTTTAAACAGTCAAAAGGACTCTTTTTTGTCCTGTGCTTTAACATGAAAAATGTGGTTTCAAGTTAACTTTTCATTTAGAAATGTGAGTTATTATGAATCCCAGCTGTTTGCTTTGTGCTTTCCAATTTTCAGTTACAGACTTTAAATCTCAGTGGAGGCAAGTGCAAGGATGATTGTTAGAGCACAGGAGCAATAACAGGGCAGAAATCAGAGATCAAGGTGGAAGAAGCAGGCTCTGCAGCAGTTAGGAAGTTGAGGATAACAGAGGAGGTACTGGTAGAAGGTATAGGTATAAAACTGGGACCAAAACAGAAGATGAAATCTGCTGCCTGTGCTCAGGATTTGACTCTATTGCTCCTGACTTGTACTGAGAAACCTAACCCTGCTCTTCTAGAAGCATCCTTCCAGTGTCCATCTCCTGGCGGGTACAGAGGACTGACTCCCGCAGCTGTGCCCTACCCAGCCAGCCAACTGGCAGATGCCTGCTGTGAGGGACAGTCCGCCTGGATCCAGAGTGATTCCTTAGGCTCTGTTTTTCATTTTACACATAGTTTTAAACCACGCAGTTTCAGGAAGTCAGAGAATGTTAAGATGAAAGTAAAGGCAATGTCAGAAATAAGGTTGCTCATGTGAGCCCCACCGGTCTTGGTGACTCAGCCAGTTTCATCCAAAGCGCTCTTTTTCGCTCAATGCTTAATCTTGTCTGTTGGTTGCAGTCTCTATCCAGCCCTTTCTTGGTCATCCCTGAGGTCATGGCCTTATCACAAAGAAGGTTACCATCACATTTCCCCATCCCATCTCCTGTGGCCCATCCCAAGGATGGCTGCTGCAGGACAGCACTTTACACACCCATGTGTATATTTAGCTAGGGTTCCTTCTAGGGAAGCAGGAGCCGCCTGAATAACTACCTCCAAAACAGCAGCCGAAGGACCAGTTAGCAACAAACGGCAGTGAGCCCACATCCTCTCGCTATTTCGACGGAAGGATCCATGCCTGTCTGCAGAGAGAGCCTTCCCTGCGGCTTGTCCCATGTGGTCAGGGTGATTGTAAATCCTCTCCTCATTTATGAGCAATGAATAGGGCCCTGTCTGACCTAACTAGGGCATGGAGAAGCTATTAGACTTCAGAGCAGGAGCTTTGAAACACATGCCTGGATTCATCAAAGGAATAATGGAAAATATTTTGTTTCACATGGATTTTAACTAATAATGTTATTTCTACCAATTAGGCATTTTCAAATTTTAGCTATGCTTTTGAGATTCATTCATTCCCTTCTTCCCTTTTGGAAGAAGGGAATGAATCTTGTGATTTAAGCACAAGATTGAGAGTCAAGGATATTGGTATTTTTCCCAGGCATGCAACAGAGAGAACATGAGGAAGTGACTCTTTATGTGTGTAATTCTGCTTGCAGTAGCAGTCTATGGCTGAAAGTGCACCACTGTCTTGTGGTGCCAAGTGGCTCAAAAGTGGCACCAAGGGGAGAAATAATAATGAACGCAGAAACAAAATGAAGCAGGCTTACAGTACTTGAGCCACAGTGAAATCAACACTGTTCACAGTTACAGTTCCTTTTCACACCTTCCCTTGTCTGTCACTTCCTACCTTCACCACCATCCCGTAGCATTTTCTGAGAATGTCAAATGCAAGTATAAATAAATGTTCTTTTTATCCCTTCCCAATTATCTTAGATACTCTGTGTGTGTGTGTTTAGTTCTGCACATGTCGAATCCCATCAGGAAGTGTATTTCAAAACACTGATCCAATTCCTGCAAAAATTCTTTCTTCAGCTCTGTCCCAATTTGCTTATTGTTTTATAGTTCTGATGGGACACTGAATTTTTGACAACCTTATGATGTATTTTAGGTGGCAAAGGACAACTCTGAATCAGTTTTTATTTACTAGAAAATTAATATACTAGCAGGATCTGCTAGTCCCAAGCAAACTGTGTATTGTGATTTGTATCAGGTGTTGCTTTTCTGGAGTCTACATATTCACTAGTGGATGTAATGAAGAGAAAGCTAGCAACTTTGTGGAAAATTTACTTTTGTGTAGAAAAATGCATTAGTTGTACCATTTGCATTCCTGACATAAATCCTTGTTGTCAGAGAGTTGTGTGGCCAAACAACATCTTCAAGAAAACATTCTGTCAAGAGATTACTGAAGCACTTTCACATGTATCAGTAAGAGGACATAGCTATTACGGATCAGACCAAATGCATGAGATTCTGCATCCAAATTATTACCTGTTTGAGAAATTCACATTTCTCCACTTATATAAGCTAAGATCTTGGCTTACATGTCTTAATACTTAACTTTCAAAGCACCATCATTCTTTATTTCACCAATCCAGCTCCAAAAGGAGGCACTGGTAGTTGCCAGGCACTTACCATGTATAAGTGAATATTTGATATTCCAAATCTCCATCCTGCAGGTCTTGAGCTGATGTGATGACCAATGTTTGATAATGGAGACAGATCCATTAGGAAATCTGTGAGCCCAGCTTCTTTTGGCCTTTTCAGAAAAGTGTGGTAGAGTATTCAGAATCTGAAAGCAACTGAAGGAGAAAGAAGCAGTTATTATTAGTCAATCTGTAAATAGCACTGATTTGAGGACTCACTGATTCTCCTAGTCACTTCCATGACAAGGCAGTGCCAAAGAGCTCTTTGTTTGGCAGTCTTCTGTGCAAAAGGTTTTGTTTAGATAGATTCTTTTTCCTTAAAATACATTGCTTTGGTTTTCTTTCAGATGAAAAACTCCTGGTCTGTGTGTGGACCTAACCACAAACTGTAAGGGGCAAAGTAAGATGCAACTCTGACCTTTTAAGAAACTGTTCCTTATGTTACCCTTGCCACTGCTTTATGCTGTAGCAAGGAATTGTGGAGAAGACTGCTGTTAAGATGCTGTAAACATTTGAGATTACCCATGCTTACAGGGCTGAAACAACCCATATTTAGATAGCATCTAAAAGGACAGGAAAGTGGATGAAAGATGTCTTTTTAAACCCTTGTAATAAGTTTTGTGGGTACATAATTGGTTCATTCCCAAAATGGCACTGAAAGAGAAGCACTGCTCTTGTGGATTTCAGCTTTCAGTGCATTTGCCATCAGCAGTACAGATTTGTCTGGGTTCTTTGCAGTCCCTGTCACTTCCCAAACCAAATCAGATCGTCTTTCTAAACTGTTCAGGCGACCTGCTGTGTACATGGTTAAGTACATAGCTTTAGACTTAAGCTGCAGTAGCTAAATCAGCACTGTCCAGGTAGGTGGGTAGTAGCATTATTACTACGCTGTGGTTTTCGTGTCATTCCTGGGTCTGCTTACATTGGGAATCCATTGCAGCCTTCCTTCCTTCAGATTTACTGTATCTCAGTCAGAGCAGTACATACATCTTCGAGTGGGCAATAGTTCTGAAGTTTGTACTTCTGTGTGTTTGCCAGTTCAGTCTGATTTACTTTCTTTTTTTTAACTTCCTCCTCATTTATCATCTCAAACAGCTTGTATTGGACCAGGTTACTTAATTGGTTTGGCAGGATTATCTGGGATCCTTTTTCTAATACAAGCAGTCATGAAAAGTGCTAGGCTGACTTTTTTTCCTGGAAAATCTTTTGATCCTAAGGCTAAATCTTTGTACCTTGGGTAGTGCCAAGTTGGAATGCCTCTACAAATTTGTCGTTATCATTTTGTAACTGGGACTCTATGCAGCATGTTTTTAATTTGAATGCCTTCCATGATTCCAAAACTTCTACTAAAGTGATTCATGTCTTCATAATGCACCAGTAATACTTCTTTGTTTCTTATGCTGTCTCCTCTCTTGTTTTAATCTGCATCCTGAGAAATCAGCCTAAAAAAAATGGCTCTCAGATCTGCCTTCATGAGAGTTGGCTGGAGGATCACTAAAAGTGATGGGCAAGTCTCATGGCACTGTAGAAGGGATGCTAGACCAAGGGAAGATGTAAATAAATAGGGAAGACCCATTCTTCCAATCAGGCAGCCTAGCGAAGGAGTTCATCTGGTGCTTGAAATACCAGTGTGGCAAGAATTAACCAAAAACTCGCTTCCTCTACTACTGAGAGAAAAAAATTACCTTTTGTATCCTCTTTTTTCTTTAAGCAAGACCCAGGGAGTTACTGTCTCTGGTTACTTTCTGAACATTGTCTTGGCAAGGCTGTAAAATATAAAGGAATTAAATTGTATTGGTATTAATGAAGAGATATAATCTCAGAAAACAAATTACCAGGGTTTGTTCAAAATATTGTGGAAGATTTTTGGACAGTTTCTGTGTACAGGTTTTACTTCCATCAAAAAACTGTTTTTATTCTCCAGATTCTTCAGACAGAACGTTTGGGTAAGACCACATCCAAAATGAAGTTATGATAGTGAAATACGAGTGCAAATATTGACAATTTCTTTATATCTGTTCCAGGCAGAATATGAAATTGCTCCAGATGAAAAGCTGGGAGAGAAGGGAAAGGAAATCATGATGAAATACCTCACCCCAGAGGTAAGGGGCAGCCAAAGTGGTGTTACTGAAAGAATGCTGCAAGGCACACCTTTGCTAAACAAGGTTGTTCTAGGCTTTCTAATATAATTTTAGAGCCCTAAAATTTATGATGGCAATCTCCAGTGTATAAACTTGCAAGTCTTACACAAACAGAAAGAAAATTGTATTTTAATCTGTTTAATCTTGGCTTTTAAGAATGAACTTGTGCTTACTAGAGGCTTAAGTCATCTATGATGAGAAGGGGCTTCTCTGTTCTCTTGTCCACGTGCAAAGCTCTGCATTTGTGCTGCAGTGCAGGACACCTTCGCAACTTTATCAACTGGTTATTTCCTATTCTGTTCAAATTTGTGGTGTTTCATATACTGCTGGGTAGGAAGCACCAGCAAAGATGGGTTTTGGTAACAGATGTTGTATGTTGGTACAAAAACTTACATTCTTCCTACACAAATTTGCCCCAAGGCAACCAAAAGCTTGCAAGATTGAAATTGACACTGTGTGTCTTGGAGCTGATGGTGACACCACCAGTTGGTTTCCACTGCTGTCAGCTCCTGACTGTTGCACCACTGGGCTGTCCAAAGGAGCTCGTGGTAGCAACCGTGTCCACAGGGTGGCACTCTGAATAGAAGTACAGATTGCAGCAGCAATATTAGACAGGCTGCACTGGCACTAACCCTTTTGAGCAGGAGGCTGGATCATTTGCAGACCAGGTTTAACCTTTGCTTTAAAGTCACTGCCAGAAAGCAATAAACATCAAAATTCAACATATGAACAATCCTAGGATTTTTCCTAAGTCGCTTTCATAGGAGTAACCAAGACATAAAACTGCTGCTTCATCTTTTTTACAAGAGAAATACATTTGACCTTCAGGAAAAAGAACTTTTGGCAGATATCTTTCTGAAGTGTTAAAATGGTACAAAATGTTTTGGAGATGCAGGAGCAGAGCAGACCTTTTTTTTTTTTCCAGTCAGTCATTTTCCTACCGTAAATTTCAGTGCATACTTTCAGTTATCTCAGACTGCATTTGGGGATCTGGTTTCATTTCCTGAGCCTGGCTAGCTTCGTGTGCAGCCATTTAGCACTACCAGGGTGAGTTCCTGCTGCCCATTCATTAAGGGCATGAAGTTCTACTGTTTTCCATCCACTGAGGTGACTGTTTGTCTTTAAATTCCTATCAACAGAGGAAAGAAGGGCAAATACATAAGGAAAATTTTTCCCACTGCTCTAGTCCTGATCTGGAAATGGAGAGGGGCATTTTGCTGGTATCAGGAACAGGGAAGTGAGAGGACAGTGCTTTTTAGTTCCAGCTAAGTGCCACTCTTTAGTTCCAGATGCCACTCTTCACTGATGTCCCATTGCACTCTGCCATATCTGTTACTTTACTTGCAGCCCCATAGTGCAGCAGAAGCACATGGAATAGTTTAGTGAGGTCAGTAAGGTCCAAGCTGAGAGCAGTTTTGTCTTCATCAAGAAAAAATAGTGTTGCAGGAAGGCAAATTACTGGGACTCTAGAACTAGAGTTTCCCTTCTCTGCAGTGCTGTACACTTTTTATTTGACTTGCATACCTGATTTTTCAGTGTGAAAAATGGATGTGGTCTGTTCTGAAACTTATGACATCTTCGAATTCTGTTAAGGTCTTAGGGCAGAAGGAAACACAAAGCTATGTGCCTTCTGTTGTAAACTAAAACTGTGCTGGTTAAGCTTTAATGTCAACATTGGTCTCACTGCACTTTTTTTCTTAAACAGTTCTTCCTAGAGAAGTGTGTAAGCCATTCTACAGGTAGTAGAGAACACTTCCTAGAGGTAATATTGGCTACGCCATAACAATGAGCTGACTGATAATTTTTCTAACAAAGGTCCCACAATAATTACTTAAAACATCTTCAGCAAGGTCTGGATTTCTTTCTTTTCATTGTGGATACTTACCTTAGACACTCGCATTAGGAGCTGAGGTGGCCTGCTCTCTCTTCTAGCATAGGAAGAGAAGTAGGAACCTCCAAAGGATGGACTTTAAGCCACTAAAGGTAAGTAATTCAAAATCAGGTTAGATGCATGCAGAGGTTAATCTGGACCCGAATGTCCTAATGGAATATGGTCCTGGCCGGCAAAGAAACCCTCTTTTCATTAGGTGCTGCACTGCTGCATTTCTCCATTTAGCTGTCATTGCCTCGAAAGATACAAAGAGCCACTGATTCCAAAGCCTTCTGCTTTCAGAGCAGAAGTTTCTTTCAAATAGGTGTGTGTCTGTACTTCAAAGAACCTTATTGTCTTGATATAGAAATAGTGTGACATACAGCTTGACTGATAGAATAAAATTATAGGTTTGGCTCTTGGACAGATAATTCAGTCTTATAATGTAAATAGTATTTTTCCCAGAGTGCAAGATCAGAAATAAAATCAAAATAAAAAGTAGACTTCATGCTCTTTAATATTTATAAAAGATTTTTAGCTCTTGGGTTTTTAAATGTCATGCATATTTAACATATAATGTGTCAGTATATCCTCATTCCAAAATGTATTCATTTGCATAGGGAACATGCACTTTATTTAGTAAAGCATATAATACTTGTACAGCAGAAAGGAAAGGAAAACATTTCCCCAGATGAACAGACATCACATCAGTTCTTACAACCTCATGTGACTCACAGGCACTGTGAGATGTTACTACGCTGTGCAACAGTTGGCAAACTTGGGTGTGTGGGAGCAGTGAATGCCTGCATAGAGAGCTCTAGCGAGAGCGTTCAGCATCAGCCCTGAGGCAACTGAAGGAGCTCAGAGCTCATCCAGAGAGCTGAGGGGGAGACACCGTTTCAGATCATCACAGATCAGGCTCTATGCAGCTTTCACATCCTGAGCAGCCCCTGAGCACTCACTGAGGCAGCTGAGAAGACATCTAACAGCCTTTTGTTGCAGCTGAGGCCAAGGATGGCATGTGTGGGTAACGCTTCCATGGCTCCCTGGCTTACAGGCAACAGCAATGACAAATTCTGAGCATGGCCTAGCACCTGGAAGGGAAAATGGGTGGTTTAAGCCTCTAGGAGAAATGGCATGTAGGAACTCTGGTTCTCATCTGGGAAAAAGAGGAAGTAAATCCCTACTTCTTCCATAGGAAGACATCAATGCGCCCTCTTGCCAAAAGTATGTTGAAACACCCATATCCAGCAGCCCCTTCTGAAATATTTGATGGGAGGGAAATGTAAGAGCTGCGTGTGATTGTCTCACTTACAATGCCAAAACAGAAGCTTTTCCATGGCTCCTGAGCAGCTTGACCTGAATGGTAAGCAGGAGACAGAAAACTCATGGAAGGGGTGGGTGAAGATACCAGCCATCTAGACACATGCTCTGAAGAAGCATTGACTTGTTTCTCCCAGGAGGTCCCACTTTGAGCTGGCCACTCCTCAGGGCCCTCTGGGGATAAGCGCTGGTGAGAGGGCCTCATCAACAGGAGTGCTATGTCCCACGAGGTGTGTGTCACTTCCATGCCTTGATCTGAGGGGACACTCATCTACTGGCCATCTTTACTTCACAGGAGCAGCACAGTGTTCACATAACATCGAGATTTCTTGACTGGAATCCTGCTTCTTCAAGAGAAGCTTTAACAGTTTCCATGAAAAAGGCACTTAAAGCTGCCTTTTTGACTTAATAAGCCTGTAGGGCAAAAGTCCAACCCACAGGAAGTCTAAAATTTCTGAGGTTGTGAAATATAATGGTAAAACTGCTAAAATGAATTGGTCACAAATATTTATTTCCTGGCTTTTCCTAATCTCAGCAATTGAGTGAGAATGTTTCAGATTTAGGTTCCAGTTCTGTCTGCAAATGGAAAAGCTCTCTGTGCCTCCTGGAACGGTTCAGTTTAACTGAACCCAGCATGTCTTCATTACCAGGCTTCTTCTGGTAGTGCAAGAGTGAAGGGATACGTTTACCTTTGTGCTGCTCTCGGATTAGAGCTGTGCATCTGACTGCAACATCTTTGCCTTCCTTTTTGAAAGCCACCATGCCTAACCCCACTAAATCACTAGCCCATTATTTTCTTTGTCACTGCAAAGCCACCACCTTGAGATACTTTGAGAGACACTACATAAAACTAAATTGATTTGAAATGGCTATTAAGGCAGTCTCCATATGTCATTATAGTTTATATTTGGACCCGGTTGTGTACTAAAAATGTTACTGAATAGGATGTCTGATGTGTATTGTTATCCCCATTAATACACTTCACAGAATATGAAGAACAGCAACAGTTAGGTTTCTTATCTGAATTCCTGTTCCGTTGCCTTCCCTCCAGGAAACGCACAGAGTAAAGGCCACGTTTTCAATGTCTTTCTCTGCTGCAGGAGGTTAGCTGTATGCAGCAGTAACCTCCTTACTCCAGCCTACTGAGAGCAATGGGCATTTTGCTAAATGGAAATATGTCTTTGTTTATATGAACAATTATAGGATAAGGAAGGGAGGACAAAGTCCTATGGAAGGGAGACTGGCTGATCAGCAGTGCCGGGCCTTCCACTTGTTCGCTGGCTAAAAAGTGCTCTTCTATCAGTTCTTTCTGCAGAAGAAAATACTTACGTAAGATGGGTGAGATGAAATTAAAATGATTTATGAGCCTTTCTACTGGGAAAAGTCATGCAGCTGAGTCCAGGCTCACACTCACAAGCACCCATTCTTAGCTCTGCACATCGCCAGTTTTCTTTTTGCACACCATTGCTTTAATCTTGATGGTAAGCATTTTTTCCTTCATGTTGTTCTCTCCTTGACATTTCTTCCCTTCCTATTTTCACCATGAAAATAAATGCAAACTTTAGCACTTGTGCTTCTGAGTCATTCATCTTCTTTGATCACTAAAGACTTCCATCTCCCGTAAGAAGTTTCACGCATCACTTCTTAATGGTTCTGGCTGAATCCCATTGGTGGAAGGGCAGGTCCTGCCAGGAATTGGATTCCAGTGCTGGGATCTCTTCCTCTAACTGATTAGTTTTACTAAATGCCTTCTAGGAAGATTCCATAA